ATACGAGTATTTAATTTATAACTGTAACCAACGATAAATTTTTGCCAACGAAAAACGATTCGGAGTGAATTTCGATTATACATGCATACATATATTATACATATATTTTTCATTAATTTTTAACCAAACAAAATGTATAACTAAACTTATCATGCAGACTTATAAATATAAATATTTAAATATTACACATTTATAGCAATGTCAAAAATAATTCGAAAAAATGATTAAACCTATACTACCAAACGTATTTTTCGATTCAAGACAAACAATATTCGTCAATGACCACGAAATATTTTTCGATAATCCAAAATATAAAATTCATATTCTATCAATAGGAAAATTTGAAAATTAAATTTATTATCATTCGTTCGATCTTATATAATAGACATAATCAATATATTATTGCGACTCATTTACAATGATTTATAACCCAAAGATTGCAACGCATGGTATTAATGATGTTTCGTCTAGTCATTAAAATAATTTGTTAGATTATAGATTGCAGAACTGCGAGCTAAAATTTCAACCGTTCTACGAAAAGGAAAACATGAACCATTTGTTTAAACGAATAATTTTGAACACGGCTCGAAATCGTCTAATATTTTACACGGTCCGTCACGGGGGCTTTGATTTTGGTTAGCGATTGATAAGACATTGATTTATTTAGACAATCATAATGCATTTGAAATAAATCAAAAAAAAGAAAAAGAAAAGAAAACAAGTTTTAGGTGTGGATATAATTATAATTATTTTTTGTAATTTTCGAGGTCGGAGTCGAATATAATATTATCCTAGGGGAAAAAAAACCGTCGGTCAAATCCGCGGCGACGAACCCGTACAGATTTCGAATACGGATTGAAAAAAACGAAACTACCCGGGGGTATAATATTATGACAATAGGTACATAATATATACATATATGTATGTATATTATGTTAATAAGACGGAGTTTGCGATTTTTTCCGGTAATCGCTATAACATAAATTATAATCTTTGGTTACATATGAAATCAAAAAAAAAAAAAAAAAAAATTATAACAATTTGCGTATAGTAGTAAGTATATGTCTATCTCTATGTGTCTTTATGTACACGTGGCTTGTTCTCTTTTATAGATTCTGCACGTAGCGAAAAGTGTATTACTCATATTTTGTCTTTCTAAAATGTGTTTTTTTTTTTTTTTTATTACGGCTGCCGGTTTTTTCAAATTTTCTCCAATTATGAAAAATGTTTAAATAATTTTTAACATTTCAATTACCGCCTTAAAGATAAGATTTTTCCATTGATCTACCCGATATCAATTAAGGGTGAAGGGGTGCTGCAATTTTTTCTACCGAAAATGATTTCGCGGGAACAGAAACTTGTTAAAATAATATATCCACCATTTTGTTTTTAATTGATAAACAACACGACATTCTATCGCTCACATTGAACTTCATGCATAACCGAGGAAACCCAGAAATCGATTACAATAAAATTCAATTCAATGACCTAACCTTTATTATTAGAACAAAACCCACTTTGTAAATAATATAAACTATCTTCAAGCTAAAAAAACACGAATGACAATCGGGCGATTATTATATTTTTCGAGTCAACTCGGTTAACCGAAATACTCGTTTCATCGATTTTGCACCTACGTCATATATATTTATAACGTTTGTATGAATAATAAATATATGTACCGTAAAACGCGTATAAAAAAAACCGTTATTTTTTCTGATGCGGAGTAGAGGGATTTAGACCCCATCCCAAAAACCTCCCTCGAACCAGTCGAACCATTTTAATCATACGTAAAAGTATAATGTTCAAAGGGGTATACTGAATGTCCATCTACTTCTCTTCAAGTTAAATACTGAGGCCTCCACGATAAAAAAAAAAAAAACAAAAAAACACAATAATAATAAAATTCTCACCTCTTATAGTTATTATATAATAAATAATATTATAACAATAATTTCCCCCGCCATAATCATTAACCATAGAATTTGCCTATTATGCAGTTTAGTTGTGCATTTTGAACGTGCGCTATAATAACGAAAACACTGTAATTAGGTACCTGTAATATGCGGGACTATATTTTTAGCCATTGTTTAGGAAAATGAGTAAGTAAACCAGACACGAACGTACGCTCGTAAATAATATTTTCAGGTAGGTGGCGTCTACACTGATACGGACAAATGAAAGGCCGTGACATAGACTTTGTTTTACTATTCGCTTATTATACAAAAAACGATAACATTGACCTCTAAACTTAAAATTATTGCAAAAATCGACACATGAAACACGACTACCTATAGCGATAAAAGTATGTACACTAAAAGTACCTACTCGTCATAAATATTTGTGTGGTTGGGTTAGGTTACTAATTAATAACCCGAATTTTACAAATGTATTTCTTCGGTATTTATATTAGCAATAATCAAATTTGTAATATTAATGGATCAACATGTATACAAATTAACGGTTGTCTATTTTCCATAGCGACGCACTCAAATAATCAAATGTTCTAATTCGAGTAATCATAGAGTTGCGAATTATTCGCAAAAATTCTAAACGCGTATTTAAGTGCAAGTGCATATAGCAGCCGAACGTCCATACAGTTGAGTTATCAATTTGTCATTTAAAAATAGATATGCAATATCCTTCCCTACGCCTCCGATCTAAACTTTATAATTGTTTTAACTCATAAACGGTAAATCTGATATTAGTGTCATGCATATCAAAATGTCTAGACAAATATTCTCTGTTCGAAATTGTGTTCAAACTTCAAAAAGGGGGTATCCTATTTGCAAAACAAAAGTATATACTTATTTAAGGTATACGGAGTAGGGGCAAAAAATAGTTAAGTTTAAACGATTCCATAATAAATAAAAAACAGAAATCAGATTCATTAAAAAACCACCGAGAATGTTGCCGATTCACGATAAAAAATAATAACCCTGTATGCAGTGAAATCAAAATGTCGTGGGAGTAGTGCACGTCACAGTAAATTATGTCCAGGACCGGAACCGTGGAGGGGCAGGCGGGGATTAATCACCAGCCATATTAACGTATATTTTCTATGGATATTAACTGATAAATTCTTCTTTAATTGTGATTCTTCAGCATTTCAGGAGTGTAGGAGAAAGTGCGTGTTGTACGTTTTGCATTTTATAAATATTATAGCCTGAAGGTAGTGGGGCGAACACCGCATAGACCGTATAGTATTTTTATCCGGCACTGGTAATGTTTGCGTGTACACAAAATCATATACCTATACGAGTACATATATTAGAATAGAAAAAAATAAAAAGCATTCACACAAATTGCAGAACAGTAATTACAGATATCTGTGTAATATTATATTATAATAGCCATGCTTTTGCGATGCAGTTTTCGGTAAACAGATTGTTGTTGTTTGCAACCAATCGGTTGTGAACAAACGTTTTGTTTGTTGTACTCAAGTCCGTACAGCATTTCACAAAATGGACAACATGCAGTAACCGAAGACAGTAAATGAAGTTACTAATAACGATTGTTATTATGTCCAGATTCCAGTAGTCGAAAGTGCATTCAGTCATCAGACAGAATGATTTTTGTTTTTTTTTTAAATTAGTTATTTACGCCGTTTGTTTTATAAAAATAAATAACATATATATATATTATTATTATCATAAATATTGAAGGGAGATAATCCCACTCTACTCGTACTCCGCCATACACTCGTACATAGTTTTTATTTATTTAATCGTTGGCACCGCGATGAGTTGTCGAGTAATCTATAAAAAAAATTCCTATAAACGTATTATTATTATTATTATTATTATTTAATAGGTAACTTATTATTGTTATTCTCGTTATAACTGTTGTTCATTTTTTTTCGAAATCTCGAGACGCACGTGTTCTCGCCGTCGCAACGTGTCGACCTCTGTTCGTTATACGATTGAATTGGCCTTCGATCACACAGACGAGCAACACACAGCAAGGTAACTCCGCGCTAACAATACACGAAATAAGAATATTTCAAATAAATATGTAATTGTTTACAGTGCCTACAACAAAAACAACACCGACAACGTTTATTTTTGCCGAAGAAATTTAATTTTCCTATTGCAATCTTCCCGCTGAACGTGAAAACGTCAACAACTTTCGGTTATTCAAACTGCCTGCAATTGTTTATTGTACGTGTAGGAATAGCAGTGGGCATAGGTCGTCCATAATTTGTTGATTCTTAAATTCTCATCAACCGATACCGGAGTGAAACGACTATTTACTTTTAATTTTCATACGGCAAAATACATACATACATACATACATACATACATATATATATACTAAAAATTCCATTAATAAATGACGTATTAAGTATATGAAAAGATATAAATAGATTTTGTTGTTAAAATTGTTGATTTCCGTCGAACCGTTGACGAGATAATATTTCACTTTTAAGTTAAGGTAGGTGGAGAGTATAACGAAGTATCATCTGTTTGGCGGCACCAGTACCCCACTATACTGTCCCCCTACCTAAATTTAAAAGTGGAATATCCCGTCAACGGGTCGACAGAGACCGAAAATATATTAAATCGATTTAAGAAAATTGTTAATATAGGTTGCCATTTGAAAATCAAAAGTGAGGAGCAGTCGTTTCACCTCTCAAAATCAGGGCCACAAAAAAATAATGCTAATGTAACATTTTAAAACTGCTTAAATTATCGAAAAAATTTAATAACGAGAATTTTACGTTAAACGAATCACCGTGTATACTGTTAACCTTCTCAGTGCGTCCAATTTAAATAGTTTAATTATTTATAGGTGGCGGCCTAGCTATATATCTGAGTAATTTATTCCGTACATGTATAATTTTGACATTTAGTACGGCCTATCAAAATAACAAACTCTATTTAATGTAACGGTAATAATTGCCTATTTGAAATTGAAAAAAATACAGCCGTTTAGTTGGTATCAGTACACAAAGGATAAATTTAGCTATTATGGTTGAAATTCGAAAAATTATGCAAAAAAAAAAAAAAATAATAATGAATCGTTGACAATTTGACCACTACGACGAAAAATGAATAATAATAAAAAAAAAAAAAAAAAGCTTATAACAATTATGAGACTTAAAATTAGATTTTAAATTTATTTTTTGTCGCGAAAACTTGAGTTTCGATTTTAATTGACAATATTACTTAAATAACAAATAATAATTATAAGCACAATAAGTAAATTAACGTTTCAAGTGTCGTGTATAAAGTAAATCAGTGTCGAGTGTTTTAAGACAATATGCATTGTGCTACGCGACGATATTCAAACAGCTAGTTTATACTCGACACGGCACTACGGACGTATATTACCAGGTATACAGAGAAAGCTAGATAAGTAGATAGATGGATTTATTATAATACATTAATGCCTGCTCGTGACGAAAATGTATTGCCGAAGACTCGGGACAGTCTCGAACCGATGATAATGTTGATTTTGTTTTCGTAGTCCAAGACAACAGTAAATCGTAATACATATTTCGGTCTTGTGCGCCGTATCAATAAGGTGTGCACGTGTTTTAACGATTTCTCCCTATTGCCCAGAAGCCAAATAAACGTTGTTAAATACACGGATTACCATAATAACCCATCCCTATAAAAAAAAAACTTCTCCGATTACAAAAAAAAACTAAAACGATACGCGCAAGTCACAACTACCTATGCGCCTTTTATATGGCTGTTACAAAAACTCGACAATTTCAAATTCCTACGGAGAATTACGAGATTTTTACAATGTTTAGAAGGAGAAAATACAAGTATTATGCGAAATTTTTAAATCTTTACGATTTTTTAAACGGAATTTGATACGCCTAAAAATCGGAGCAAGATTTCTGGTAGAAGAGTCGAACAGATAAATACGTTTTCTCGACTTGTTCTTACTAAAAAATCGTAACAATGATAATATTATAAGCAGGGATACATATTATGATGCTACTGGTTATACTGGCCCGAGCTCCTACTGATCGAAAGCCCAGTGGGTGATTCCAGTAGACTGGGTATTGGTTTTTTTTTAGCGCGGAGGAAGAAATTCACTTTGTAGTTACAATACTATTCTCCCTGTGGGAGATTAAAGTACTCCCACGGTGCCTCTACCTATTGTAAGATGAGACGAATGTGGTTGCGGCAAGTCGACAACCGGTGTAAAATGCCGTCAAACAGCGTGAGGAGTTCTAAACTAGACTTTGACGTATTTTAAACGTATTATTGTACGGATTATACAGGTTTTCTTATCAAAGGAGGCAACGATCTTTGAAATCAAACCTTACACAAAAATCAAAAGCACAAATAGTCAAAATATATTTAAAGGGGGGCTCATATCCCTATTATATTGATAATTACTATATATTAAAATAAAAATCAATATATACTTGATGAGCATTTTATTTTAGGGAGCTTGATTGAGTTTTCGGGAAACGGAGGAAGGTCGAAATCCTCCACAGGTCCTTCCTCTTTGTTACGACAATGCATAAAAAAAGGTTTAATTTTTTTTAATAATGTATCTATATCTAACATTTTTTTTTTTAAATAATTTTGACGGAAAATCTCACGGTTGAAGCGACCGCCTCTACCCTGCCCACATTAATGAATAGAAATAAAACAAGAGTACGAATTTCGAGGGTCGGGGAAAGACAGCTAACGACGATAAGCAGATAAAGTCGAGATTGAGGATTTTGAGCATCTAGGATCTTTTATACAAAAAAATAGTGACTGACACGAGTATGTGAAACAAAGGATTAAGTGTGGTTAGGTAATGTAGAGAGAAGAGTTAGGTATTGTATGTGACAAGTGAATCCCAATGAGACATAAAGTTAAATTCGGCAGTAGACAGAGAAATAGAACAAAGAATGAGTGCAGCATCAATAAAAACGTTTAGGTGGATGAGTGGGGTAACAACAGAAAGGATAAGAAATGGGTACACAAGAGATAATTTAGGTGACATTAGATGAAATAAATGAAAATAGACGGGGAAAAAGGAATCTGAAACAGTAAGAATTGTAATGAAAACAAACGTAGGAGGAAAGGAAAATGATGGAGAGGAAGACCGAAAGAGGTGGTCGGAAGCCATTGAGAACGATATAAGGACAGCCAGTGTATGCGAGATTGGAGATATGGTCAAGTGGAAGTTTAGAACGAGTCCGAATAGTTGCAACGAAGACAAAGGAGAATAAGATTATAACGACTGGCTAATGCTCTTGAAGGCACGACAGACAATGCTGCAGTTGCGTAAATGTTTATTTCGTTTGAAACATACGAGTTTTGTCACCACTAAAACGAACTATAATATGCAATGCATAATATAATAGAACGCCAAGCAATTTATTGAAACAAAGAAAACCGCAATTCAAGATAAATATTTATACGGTTTTTTACGGCCGCGAACAAGTTTATTGTTGGTCAGCAATTCTCATGTGCCATAGACATACTATTGACGTGACGAATAAGAGTTAAATTTTCAGAAGCGAGGCTCAAATGTGCTACATCAATACCTTTTGGCGTAGCCAGGATTTATCAATTGGAGGAGGGGGTTCACGAGGCTACCTCCTTAACCTTAGGGGGGGAGGGGGGTGACTACACCCGAAACCCTTCCTAATTACGCCACTGACTGCATCTCATTACTAGCTTTCAAAGCGGAAAAACCATAGACCGCCATATGAACATGTTAATGTTAAAACTAATGTTGAAAAATGGATAATGTTTAAGTTTTGCTCGGTAAAACCGATTTTGTGCCGTTAGTTTAACATTTTGTATTTTGTTAGTTGGTTTCCACACGGGCTTACATCGTGGAACCACTATAAATTTTTACTCCTGAATATTTTTTGTTCATAAATAAATAATAGTAACAATAATAATGATATTGATCGTGCTCGCGCGTTGGTTTTGATCGGTATTTAAATTCTTTAAACGTGGAACGCGCGAGTGAATTACTACAATTTAAAATAACGTCGTATCTCAATTGAAAATTGGAATAGCGAGAAAAAAACCATCGCAAAAACGGAATATCTCTAAGTTTGGTAACGGGCCGATTTATTCAAATATTAAAACTCGCAGCACAAAATCGATACCACTGTAGGAAAAGTTGATGTTTTCCAACTTTCAACATTAGCCGTAAAAGGTCGGCTAGTCCAAGATTCGTACGATATTCGGCACGTATTCTTCCATTAAATTACGACGAAAAAGTACAAATCGATTTTAACAGAAATCGTTGTTACCCGAATAATCCCGGTCTCTCCATTATTAAATGAAAAGAGTTACAAATAATATCATAAAACCACTTTTCCGACGTGCCATCAAATTAGATAAAAATTACTACTAGAAACCAACCGCAAGATTGCTCGTAGAAAAGTTGTTCGGACAAAATAAATTTAAAAAAAAAAAAAAAAAAACTTTACACGTTAGGCTCTACTTCAGGGAGGTCGTTTTTTTGATTTTACTCAGCTGTTTTCGTAAACTACTTTTTGAAAAGTGAAACCATGCGGGTCGCGATAGATTTCAGGGAGAAAATTTGGATCGCGGTCCTAAAAAGATAGACTGAGAACCACTGCGTTAGAGTCAACAATTGTGGAGGAATGTTTATACTATTCATAAAAAAATAAAAAAAAAAAAATTGAAACGCCCGGATAAATTGTCAGATACGTGTCTGTGCAATATAATTCGTCTCGCTCCTAATTATTACAACTGTCGGTTCAAACGGGAAAATCAGAAAATTAAACCAAATATCTGCCCGCGATAAAACGATACGCAATATTCAAAATCGAAATGATAAATTACAATGACGATCGTTAAACGCCGACGGACAGCATAGTCGCATAGTAAATGCAGATGCCGTGTGTTTATTTAGGCGTTTAGTACTCTAGTATTTAACAACGGGTAGGGGGGAGGGGGAGGATTAACAACAACAACCGAAACACTCCACTGTAGACGAGTGTTATAATATAGGTTATCTCAACACTATCTTTTGTAGGAGTTAACATTAACTTCTATAGAAGTAAACACTATGTCAATGCGGGAGATTACCTACTTTATAGGTATACCTATACTATAACCTTTGAAAAATAATAACGTACACGGTTTTAAAACTAGATCCTGCGAGGTGTTATAACATATCGTATTGTCGAAATCTCGGTCAGGTCGGTGTTTACAAGCGGGGAAAATGTACGGAGGGAACGGTGGGGGGGAGGTGGAGTGGAGGGGCGGCGCCATGACGGCGAACACTTGGCAGCAGTGCAGGTCGCGTGAGTTGCAGTCCGATCGGCAGGCACAAATCGGCATACGGAGCGATCCGGTAATTTGCACGGAAAACACGTCACGGAGGCGTAAAAAAACGCCATGTGCCACGTTGCGGTTATTGTTACCGGTAGAGTAAAAAAAAAAAAAAAAACCGACAATTTTAACGCAACGTCACGATTCCGACGAAATCTCGGACGTACAAATGGAAAACGTCGATTCGAACCGGCCGGGTCCCCGTAAATCCGGAACGGGAAAACCGCGGGCGATTTGGTGCGCCCTGTACGCGGGTTTTATTTTGGCCATTACTCGGTCACGTGACGTCACGTGTGCGCTGGCGGGCGAATGACGAGTTTCCGCGGTACCGTTTCGACAGTTCAACGTGGTCGTCCGTTTTTCCTCCCTACCCCGCGTACGAGTCCGTCGATTTCCCGCCGCGTGCGGATAATCCGTACAATATTTCGTCATTTTCGATCGGCCGAAAACTCGGTTGTCATTTCGTCGGACCGATCGACAGACACCAACGGTGGATAAGGACGTCACACACACACTATTTGACTATTAGACTTATTTGACTAATAGTTCGTACCAACTATACAATATATACTTTCGTAGATTACTACGTACGCACGCACACACACACACGCACACGTATGTGTATGTGCGTATTTATTTGTTTCGAAAAAAAATAAAAACTGCTACATGTTTTTGCAAAAATACTTAACTTATAAAAAAAAAAAAAAAAACGAATGCAAAAAAAAAAAAAGGGGGGGGGGGGGGGGGGGGGGGGGGTGAGGGTAATGTATGGGCATCGATAATTTATTATAATAAGTTACAGTTATTGTTACATTATAATTATAATATTGTAAGGGTATAATTATAACAGAAATAGCTAATAATCATTATATAATCGCAAACGGATTTGTTTGATAAAAATGTATTAGTGAACAGTGGTAAACATTGTGATTTCAGACAAGATCATCTTCTATTCCACATATACCACAGGGCACTAAACATAAATTATTTTTGTAAACTAAAGCAGTTTTATTACAGTACATGTTTTACACAAGGGGAAAAATATATTATCAAAGTATAAAATGAATCGAGATGTATTGATCGAGTATTATAAAATATTATGTTTTAGAAGACATGGTTTTTTTAAGAAATGCATTGTTTGACAGTATTAATTGTATTGTATCACAAAAAAATGATTATTATTATTATTACTTTAATGGTGTTTAACTAAATGTCCAATAGATTAGGATGTAAAGCATAAACCAAAAGAAAAAAAAAAAAATAAGAAAAAGCAAATTTAATTTACCTTTGTTTTACGAATCGATTAAATCACATTTTAAACACGCTAATTATTTTGCTCTACACTAGACGAACATTTATCAGATCTTTTATTGCAACAGCAATACATTATTATATTATGTTAGTGTTTATTGGCCTTTCTACGTATCTTTTTGGTGATTATTATGTAGGTGCTAGGCATAAAATGGTTATTAGTTCATAATTAGTATGACCGAGATATAAGGATGTGTTCATTGGATGCAACAGACGGTCTTGTGTCCGTTCTTCATCTTCAGTCTAGATTTTGGACGGTACTTTTCTAAAAATGCCAGTTGTTTAGAATTAATAGCTCCTCTTCTCTTCCTAAAGACAAATTAATACATCTTAGAAACTGGGGCCGGAAAATTAATTGTGAATATTATGATGTTAAATATGTATGTACGCACTCTCTGATTAGTTGAACGGCGTCTTCATACTTCAACCCGAGTTCGATTAATGCCAAAGCCACTAAAACAGGCGCACGACCTAAACCAGCCACACAATGCACAGCAACACAACTACCCTCCTCCGTACGAAACTGATTACGTAATAACTCAAACCATTCTTCAATTAACTAAAAAATATAGAGGAATAGATATAATACAAATTTGTAATGCTTTAAGTGTATGCAACACACTATACTTGGTAATGGAAAAGTAATTTACCTCGTTTGCAGGCGATGTACCATCATCGTATGCTAAGTCAGTCACTACAATACCTTCTGCTTTTAATTCATCTACTTTGTATGTTGGTTCACAAACACGTACTACATGTTTAACGTTATGCCTCTTTAATTCCTAAAAATGTATACATACATTTTTTTTTTTTTATTGCATTTTATTTGTAATAATTAATAAAAAATATCTGGTTACTTACAGCTATATAGTTGTGAATGATCTGGTCATTAGGTCTGTCAGTGATAAGAAATCTCATACCCTTGTAGTCAATCTCACAGGGCGGTGGTCTGATGTCTTTTTGACGCATTATGGTTTCGTTACTCATTGGGCTGATTTATTATAAACGGATAGCAGGAAAATAAAATAAAATGATATATGGATTACAATTCAAGGGTTTCTGTCCCAAACTGAAGGGCTAATAAATGAGTTAGTCTTTAGTCCATTTAATTAGATAACTGCAGTGTTTTTTGTTCTTGTGACCAACAAATTATACTAAATTATCGAGGAAAACGATTCAACAATAAGGATAGATTAGGATCAATACGTATTCAACGAGCAAGCATAATATCAAAAATAAAAGAATTTAATATGCATTCACATCCAATTTGTTGTGTTGTGCCTGGCAAAATTCACTGCTGTCTAACGACAAATCCATGAAACCAAAGGCTGCTACAGATTTAACAACCTGTAAACATAATACATATACCTATTATAATACTATATAGATAATATTATAAATCATAGTTTTTATGTTCTCAAATGTTATCTTAAACCATTGTTGACACACACATAGATATGACTGAGAAAATAAATTCTAATTATAACTTATTAGATACCTATTTGTTTGATAAATATTTAATAAATTGTGTACTTAATATTAATATTTTATAACATATGGACAAGTTGAATGGCTTATAAAGATCAATTACACATATTTAAAATGACAATTGTGATAGACCGGACATTCTATTAAGGGGATCACAACTATTTAACCAGTCCATCCGCTTGATTGTCCTTTGATTAACACCTTGTTAAAACTACTAACCTTTTTAATCTCAATAAATGCACTCGAGTTTATTTTTTATTATTATTATCTAAATTGATGGTTGAATAAAAATGGCAGTTAGAAAAAACTCAACAATATACTATAAAAATTATAATATTTGTTCAAAACCCCGACTGTTTACACAAAAATATATTATCTTGTTTATACATAACTAATATTATTTTAATTGTATATACTTTATGCTTTACTTTATACACCATTTAATAATATTATCATTTGTGGTATTTTAATAATATATGTTTATATTATAGCGGGCATAATACCTACAGTATTCAACTCAATAGTAGCATTGCAGGTAATACCTACTTTTCACTAAAAATAAAAATACTTTTGCACAAATAAAGAGCATACTAGATTGGTAACCTTCAACATATTTAATCTGACAGAGAAATGAAGAATTTGAACAGCAATCTGAAATACTTAATTTATCACAATTAAACATAAAACTAACCACCATTAATTATTTACCTAATAAATATATTGGTTTTTAAACATTTTAAATCCAAAAACTATATAAACATTAAAATAAACATTAAACATAGGTACCTATATGAAATGCAAAGTTTAAATACTGACTTTCTTCAAAAATTCCATTGCTAAATTATAAATAAAAAAAAAAAATTAATTAAATAAAAAATTGTACATTTAAAAATAATTTAAAGTATATTTTTTTTGTTTTAAAACTAATTGTTGTTTTTACAATATTATGACAAACAATTTTAAATGCCTATGGCTTCCTTATAGTTTCATGGCAAAAAAAAAAATCATTATATTAAGGAAATCCTCTTTTTTTATTTATAATTCTTTTTATACAAAATACAATGAAATTATTTTACCAATTATCAAGAAATATCTTATCATACTGGCGTACATAGTGTACAGTATAATTTAGAAGTTAGGTTAAAAAGTTTAAAGCTTTTAGTAATATTTTTGAATATAATAGAAGTATAGGCATTAATTAATGGTAAAAGTATTTTATGTTTTAAATTAAATACTTATCTAAACATCTATTTTGAATGGATACTCTTTTACAAAGCACACATTTAATAACCAATAAATGCATAAGTATTTCAAATAAAAAGATTCAAAGAAATTTAAAAAAATTTAGCTGGTAAAATTCAACTGAAATCGATAACGAATTTCACCATTCCTAACAGTCGGAAATTTGAAAAATTTAATTGTTGTAATATTATTATTATAGTCTTAGAACATAATTTTACTGGGCACACACGGCATTATTATGTGGGTACACTCTTCTCCTTTACAATAATATCTCCTTACTATCATACCAACAACATTACACGGGTAACCAATAAGTAGGATAGGTAGGCGTGTGAAATGAAATATTACTGCTCGAGACATTGAAACGGCATCGTTTGAATTTCGAATATACAAACCAAATTAGGTAACGTTTCATAATCTTATCATTCCCGTGAGTCACGGCTTTATCAATAATAGGCACCTATTCGATATTCCACATCCATTATCCGCAATAAAATTGATTTATAATTTGAATGCGTTTGAATAGAGATAGTAAAGATACTCGATATACTTAATAATTCACCTACCCATATATACCCAGCAATCGTTTCCCAACAATAAATTAATTACACGCGCAAACGCATATTATCGTGTGTTTTCACATTATTGAGCAGTCGTCGACAATCTCGCACCGATTAATTTTTTCGGATTATTATTCGGACAAACAGTGTACAGGTACCTAACAAGTGAGTTGACGAATTATTACACGACACGAACCGAGTGGGTGCATTATTAGGCATTTTTCTAAAGGACATTTCGCGTAATGGAAAAGTGGATATTGAAAACCGATGAAAAAAAGATATTATAAATCGAGGAGCGAAAAGCAAAAAAAACCGCACGGAGTACGTCGATCTCGAAGTATTAAACACGAAACACAGTGCGTAAGGCACACTCTATGACCGGGCAAACGACGAGCAATAGCCGTACATACGAGTATCACATCACAGCCGTACCTATCCAACGTTCGCCGGGTATTATACTTGCCAGAAGTCACGGTATACGGAATAACGGCGCGTGTTGAATAGACGGTGATGCACGCACCGCGCCAGACGGACCCTATGGAAATGGGCAATCAAACGATGCGACAATTATTCTAATACAACGCAGCGCTGGCGGCTCTCGTCACCAAGACTGAGGTCGTGGTCAACGGTACGCCGCGACGGGCCATCTCGGGCCCTTCCTCTCCTCCTGTCAAACCGATGGTTCGACATTACTCGCCTCTCGACGGTCGAGCCCGTCCCTCTATTTATGGCCAAACGCCATTATGGCATTGAGCAATATCGTGACGCGCGCGTCGGGGGAAAAAAAAAAAAAAATAATAATAATAATAAAACGACGACAACGTCGCCGACGGCACCTCGCGAATCGCGAGTACCTACGCGAATTCAGTCACGTTCGCGAATATCGTACTTATACCGCTTCCGTAGTTCCGTCGAATCCGGAACGTGCCTCGCAAATAAAAAAAAAAAAAAAACCGAAAGTGCACGTATGTAAGTACGTACGACTGACGGCCGATTTCATTTCGGCAAAAGGTCGGTAACCGAGCGTTATATACGTGGGTAGGTACACGGGGGGGAAAAACCTCAATAAACACGACGGCATTGCGCGCTTACCTGCAGTGCTCGATGAATGACCATGGAAGTAGACGTCGTTAAATCAACGGAAAAACTTCCAACAACTGTACACATACCAATACGGACGAATTTCCCGTTAACAGGCCGCGGTTTCAAACAACCACATCACCGAACGACTAAAGCGAATTGTGACTGCGCGCTGCTGCTGCTACGGGCTGCGAAGCGGCGGCGGCGCGACGGCGGACGTGGTGGTTAGCCCGTCGACGGGTGGTGGAATGGGTTGGGAAATGGGAGGAAGTGCGCGTGTCGGTCGGTCGGCGGTCCCCCACCTAACGATTTTACGGTCTCCGCAGCCGCCGTCGCGCCGCGCTTCGCTACCGCCGCCGCAGGAGCTGCTGACGTCACGGCCCAATGCCACCGTTCGTCAGCTATTGTATGAGGAGGTCGTTGATTCGTCCGTCCGTTCGATGACGGCAATTTACAAACCTAATTTTTTCTTCCGACTTTTTCTATTGTTCAGTACGAAAACAATAATAACTCTGCCGTCTCGACCGTGGAGGGAAAAAAAAAAAGCCTGAACCTATAATACGGGAGCCGTATGAGAGCTCCGTGTAACACATTTATACGCTCGACGCTCGCCAATCGTAAGGATATTACGGTACTCGTACTAGCGAGTTGTACTACAGAACAGAACGTCATCCGGTGCCACTAACGATTCTTCGGCAAACGAAATGGAAATAATAAAGCTCCAGAGTCCAGCCGACCACACGGAACGCCCGAATCCTCGACGACAAAACGTCGCATGTTTCGCGGCAGTGGTTTAAACGAGACGAGTGCGACGAGAACTCCCCGTGACAAAGTTCAACACGAGCCGACGTACGTTTTGGTTTTTGGTTTCCCACTCTCCTATTACAACACAACACAGTAAGTAAATCGAATCGTCTCTGAGGAATTTCCCCGCAGCGAGTCCGTGTACTACGCACGTGGTATTTCACAATAAATCAATGGGAATAATTATTGTGTTCAATTTGCTGATAATAATAAATAATATTTCGCCGCATAACTGTCAACATTATTTTTGTTTCAAAACGCGGCGGATACGTACAATCTATAACGACTTTATATTGGCTAAAAATATCGATTGATAAATCGGAATTCCCCACAATTGTATATAAATAGAACATAACGAATATAGTTGTTGAACACGACGGATATTCGAATTTCGAGTCGACCGAAAACCTACGCGGCACATAAACGTATCGATATAATTGCAATTGCGTGCGATTTGTATAAGCGACGTCTTAATCGCTCCGAATCAAATTACGTTTATCAAATTAATGCATAGAGGTAAGTATAGGGCGGAATATTATTTTTCGATTACCGATCGCGCACGCAATGCAATCCGGTCCCTTGTAAATTTAAAATGTATCAGTTTTTTATCAGCGTGACGGATTCGAGTAAAATCTACTCGGCGGAACGGGACTCGACCGACAATAAGGCGCGCGTGTTCCGAAACGAGTTATTCGAATAACGCCCGCGCCGCGAGAACGGGATTCGAAAAACGATTATTAACGGCGTCCGAAATAGACCAATGGAAACGCGGTATATTCGGGAGCGGCTTTTCATAAAAATTTCGCGTGCGGAACGATAATAGTGCCGGCCGGTCAGACAGCGACAGTCGCCCGCGCCCACCGGTCGCCGCGGCCGCCGCCGCCGCCGCGACGTTCCAGAAACTTCTTTGGAAACGCGGACGGTAACGATCCCGCCGACCCGTTCGCAGGCCCGTCGGCCGCCCGCCGAACCGCGTGCTCGGTCGCGGCCCACACGCTACCGCGCCGGGGTCGAACGGTGTAATAATAATAATAATATCGTAATTCGGTCAACGGTCGCGGGTCGCTACCAATAATGCCGCGCGTACAATAACGGCGGCGAGCAATGAGGTACCGTTTAAACGGAGATTCCGCGATAAGTGGGCCACCGCCTATATACCAGTTACCGCGCGACGGCTGTCCGCGGCGTGCGGAGGGGAGGGGGGGAAAGGGGGGTGACGCTCGAGCGTATTCGGGGTCACGGCGACGGTGAGTACGGACAGGAAAACGTGATAGGAGAGAAAAAAAAAAAAAAAGATCGACGGTGATGGGTATACCCCATTACC